TCACTGTAGTCACATGTTTGGTTTGTGCCTCACTGTAGTCACATGTTTGGTCTGTGCCTTCACTGTAGTCACATGTTTGGTCTGTGCCCTCACTGTAGTCACATGTTTAGTCTGTGCCTTCACTGTAGTCACATGTTTGGTCTGTGCCCTCACTGTAGTCACATGTTTAGTCTGTGCCCTCACTGTAGTCACATGTTTAGTCTGTGCCCTCACTGTAGTCACATGTTTGGTCTGTGCCCTCACTGTAGTCACATGTTTGGTCTGTGCCTCACTGTAGTCACATGTTTAGTCTGTGCCTCACTGTAGTCACATGTTTGGTCTGTGCCTCACTGTAGTCACATGTTTGGTCTGTGCCCTCACTGTAGTCACATGTTTGGTCTGTGCCCTCACTGTAGTCACATGTTTAGTCTGTGCCTCACTGTAGTCACATGTTTGGTCTGTGCCTCACTGTAGTCACATGTTTGGTCTGTGCCCTCACTGTAGTCACATGTTTGGTCTGTGCCCTCACTGTAGTCACATGTTTGGTCTGTGCCTCACTGTAGTCACATGTTTAGTCTGTGCCTTCACTGTAGTCACATGTTTGGTCTGTGCCCTCACTGTAGTCACATGTTTAGTCTGTGCCCTCACTGTAGTCACATGTTTAGTCTGTGCCCTCACTGTAGTCACATGTTTGGTCTGTGCCCTCACTGTAGTCACATGTTTGGTCTGTGCCTCACTGTAGTCACATGTTTGTCTGTGCCTCACTGTAGTCACATGTTTGGTCTGTGCCTCACTGTAGTCACATGTTTGGTCTGTGCCCTCACTGTAGTCACATGTTTGGTCTGTGCCCTCACTGTAGTCACATGTTTGTGTCTGTTTGTCTGTGCCTCACTGTAGTCACATGTTTGGTCTGTGCCTCACTGTAGTCACATGTTTGGTCTGTGCCTCACTGTAGTCACATGTTTGGTCTGTGCCCTCACTTCAGTGACATGTTTGGTCTGTACCCTCACTTCAGTGACATGTTTAGTCTGTGCCTTCACTGTAGTCACATGTTTGGTCTGTGCCCTCACTGTAGTCACATGTTTAGTCTGTGCCTCACTGTAGTCACATGTTTAGTCTGTGCCCTCACTGTAGTCACATGTTTAGTCTGTGCCTCACTGTAGTCACATGTTTAGTCTGTGCCCTCACTGTAGTCACATGTTTAGTCTGTGCCTCACTGTAGTCACATGTTTGGTCTGTGCCTCACTGTAGTCACATGTTTGGTCTGTGCCTCACTGTAGTCACATGTTTGGTCTGTGCCTCACTGTAGTCACATGTTTGGTCTGTGCCCTCACTGTAGTCACATGTTTGGTCTGTGCCTCACTGTAGTGACATGTTTGGTCTGTGCCTCACTGTAGTCACATGTTTGGTCTGTGCCTCACTGTAGTGACATGTTTGGTCTGTGCCTCACTGTAGTGACATGTTTGGTCTGTGCCTCACTGTAGTCACATGTTTGGTCTGTGCCTCACTGTAGTCACATGTTTGGTCTGTGCCTCACTGTAGTCACATGTTTGGTCTGTGCCTCACTGTAGTCACATGTTTGGTCTGTGCCCTCACTGTAGTCACATGTTTGGTCTGTGCCTCACTGTAGTCACATGTTTGGTCTGTGCCCTCACTGTAGTCACATGTTTGGTCTGTGCCCTCACTGTAGTCACATGTTTGGTCTGTGCCTCACTGTAGTCACATGTTTGGTCTGTGCCTCACTGTAGTCACATGTTTGGTCTGTGCCCTCACTGTAGTCACATGTTTAGTCTGTGCCTCACTGTAGTCACATGTTTAGTCTGTGCCCTCACTGTAGTCACATGTTTAGTCTGTGCCTCACTGTAGTCACATGTTTAGTCTGTGCCCTCACTGTAGTCACATGTTTAGTCTGTGCCTCACTGTAGTCACATGTTTGGTCTGTGCCCTCACTGTAGTCACATGTTTGGTCTGTGCCTCACTGTAGTCACATGTTTGGTCTGTGCCTCACTGTAGTCACATGTTTGGTCTGTGCCTCACTGTAGTCACATGTTTGGTCTGTGCCTCACTGTAGTCACATGTTTGGTCTGTGCCTCACTGTAGTCACATGTTTGGTCTGTGCCCTCACTGTAGTCACATGTTTGGTCTGTGCCTCACTGTAGTCACATGTTTGGTCTGTGCCTCACTGTAGTCACATGTTTGGTCTGTGCCTCACTGTAGTCACATGTTTGGTCTGTGCCCTCACTGTAGTCACATGTTTGGTCTGTGCCCTCACTGTAGTCACATGTTTGGTCTGTGCCTCACTGTAGTCACATGTTTGGTCTGTGCCCTCACTGTAGTCACATGTTTGGTCTGTGCCTCACTGTAGTCACATGTTTGGTCTGTGCCCTCACTGTAGTCACATGTTTGGTCTGTGCCTCACTGTAGTCACATGTTTAGTCTGTGCCCTCACTGTAGTCACATGTTTGGTCTGTGCCTCACTGTAGTCACATGTTTGGTCTGTGCCCTCACTGTAGTCACATGTTTGGTCTGTGCCCTCACTGTAGTCACATGTTTGGTCTGTGCCCTCACTGTAGTCACATGTTTGGTCTGTGCCCTCACTGTAGTCACATGTTTAGTCTGTGCCTCACTGTAGTCACATGTTTGGTCTGTGCCTCACTGTAGTCACATGTTTGGTCTGTGCCTCACTGTAGTCACATGTTTGGTCTGTACCCTCACTGTAGTCACATGTTTGGTCTGTACCCTCACTTCAGTGACATGTTTGGTCTGTGCCCTCACTTCAGTGACATGTTTGGTCTGTGCCCTCACTGTAGTCACATGTTTGGTCTGTGCCCTCACTGTAGTCACATGTTTGGTCTGTGCCCTCACTGTAGTCACATGTTTGGTTTGTGCCCTCACTGTAGTCACATGTTTGGTCTGTGCCTCACTGTAGTCACATGTTTAGTCTGTGCCCTCACTGTAGTCACATGTTTGGTCTGTGCCCTCACTGTAGTCACATGTTTAGTCTGTGCCCTCACTGTAGTCACATGTTTGTTACTGTCTTGTAACGTAGACTATTGCACTTTATTTTAAATGTTGAAACTGCATTTGGGGGCGACATTGGCACAGTTGGTAGAGCATTGGCCTTTGGGCCTGAAGGTCGTGGGTTCAAGCCCACCACAAGACCTACTTCATGACTCCCACTGATAACTGCTGCCGTTGTGTCCTTGGGCAAGACACTTAACCCCACTTTGCCTGAAGCCCCCACTGAAAGATCTAAGCACCTGCAGGAGGATCAGTGAGGGGCTGGTGCTCTGTGTACTGGGTGCAGCTCTGACTGCCACCCCTCGACCCAGAAATGGATTAAGGGGAAGAAAATGATTGGATGGATGGATGGAAACTGCATACATCCTCAGTATGTGCTTCTGCGTAATGTATAAATAAACAAATGTGACAACAAACTGGGCTGTTTAAGGCTGGAAAAAAGCGCTCTTCAAAAACAGTACAATGAAAACATATATTATAGTCCTTTTTAAATTGTATTGGCCATCATTTTAATGCATAGGAAATATGACTTGGACTTGACTTGGACTTGTGGGTCCAGGGACTTGGACTTGACTTGGACTCCAGGGCGTGGACTTAATAATAATGCATTGGTTTTATATAGCGCTTTTTTGGACGCTTTGGATGCTTTACATGTCATTATTCATTCACTCCATACACGGTGGTATGGTCCCACCAACCATTCACACACACACCAGACTCATTCTAGGCAATGGGGGTAAAGTGTCTTGCCTAAGGACACAACGGCAGTTTGGCACTTTGCAGCCGCAGTCGCCCCACTGTGGCTGGTGTTCCCAGAGGTTAAGTGTCTTGCCCAAGGACACAACGACAGCAGACAGAGGGAATCGATGGTGAAGGTCGGGCTCGAACCCACGACCCTCTGGCTCAAAGGCCAAAGAGAAAAGGTGTGTCTTTTATCAGGGATTTAAAGTGCTCAAGTGATTGTGCAGTTCTAATGTGCAAAGGTAAAGAGTTCCACAACTTTGGCCCTATAACAGAAAAAGCTCTGTCTCCTCTGGTCTTCTCCTGGTCCTTTAACAGAGATGGCCCTGTCTCCTCTGATCTTCACCTGGTCCTATGACAGAAAAAGCTCTGTCTCCTCTGGTCTTCACCTGGTCCTATGACAGAAAAAGCTCTGTCTCCTCTGGTCTTCTCCTGGTCCTTTAACAGAGATGGCCCTGTCTCCTCTGATCTTCACCTGGTCCTATGACAGAAAAAGCTCTGTCTCCTCTGGTCGTCACCTGGTCCTATAACAGAGATGGCCCTGTCTCCTCTGGTCTTCACCTGGTCCTTCACAATAATACGAATTTTAAAATGAATTCTAAAATATACCGGGAGCCAGTGCAGGGACAGGAGTGATGTGGTCCCACATCACTGTATTTACAGTTTGTGTACCATTGTAGCAAAATGAGTAACACTCAGAAAGCCTTTTATCCTTGACATATCCTTGTTTTGCCATATCTTTGCTACTGAAGTTTACTTTGAATGCGCTGGAAAACAGCCTCCTAAGTAACGCTGAAACAGTTGTTGTTTTGTGCTTTACAATTGTTCTTTTTCTTGTCCTGCTCCACCCAGTGGCTACTCCACCTTGTGACCTGTCCTGCTCCACCCATTGGCTACTCCATCTCTGCTGCTGTGACTCGTCCCCTATCTATCTTTCTATCTAAAGCATAAAAGTAGAAAGACACATTATTTTTGTCCATCAAAAATAATTTATAATATTTCTTTTAATGGGTAATCACTAGTGCTGTCAGTTAAAGGCGGTAAATTAAGGCAAACCAGTTTCAAAGACGTCAATGTTTTGTTTGTTTGATTACACAAGCTCACATGTGCAGCTTTTGCTGTCCCTGTAGAGTCTATGGAGAAATGTAGACAACAGTACAGGCCAGGGGACTGCTATGCAGCAGCAAAAGTTGTATACCACTTATGAAAGAAAAAGACAGATTGAAAAAGTACATTGTGTGTATTGCGTGTCTTCACAGTGGCAGGTGGTTCTGGAGCCGACTGGGGCCTATGCGGTAGAAGGCCTGAAGCCTGACACGCTCTACTGCTTCTCCCTGGCAGCACGCTCACACATGGGCCTGGGATTGTCCACACTGCCCATCCAAGTGCGGACAGCTCCTTCCAGTAAGTTATGTACTGCCACAAAGCGCTTTACAATTGTTACGGGCATTTGTCTCTCACTCCACACAGAGATGGGAGTAGGGTTGCCATACAGTACCCGCATGCCAGACCTAATGTACATGAAACAGGAGCAGACCCCAGGTACTGTACTGTGGCTGAGAACTGTAAGCTGGTTTAGTTATGTTTTTGATTTTAATGGCTTGAGGTGCACAGTCAGATTCTTTGAGGCTCACAGATCACCGCAGATTATCTTAAAATCAGAAAACAAAATATTTATGCACTTTTTCACTTGAATTATTCCAAAGTGGCTGCCATGGTTCTATGATGCTCAGTTTTTCTTTTTTCTGTGCGCTAATTGTGCTTCTGCTTGCTCCTACACTCGTGATGAGATCTTTAACATTAGATCAATCACCTCCACGGACTACCTTTTCTTAGTGACTGCAGTTGATTGGGTAAAGACGCAGAAGGGTAAAGGTGTGTTGGGGTCCTCTTGTGTAGGAGACATGACGCGAGATCCTACCTGAGATTTTCCTATCAAATGTCCGCTCACTAAACAATGAGTTGGACGAAACTGATGAGAAGAAATAGCAACTTTTCCTCATCCTGTAGAGGAGGTGTCGACTTCTGCATCAACAGCAGCTAGTGTACTGTGGGGTTTTTTTTGTCTGAAATGATCAACTTTTAATATTTAAATGTCTGTCTGCAGTGTCTGTCGCCCCTCCCCGGAAAGTAACAGTTCATCCACTGAATTCAACAGCTCTCAGAGTGAGCTGGAAGCCCCCCCTCATGCAGACACAGCACGAGCAGATCAGAGGCTACCGAGTGTCGTACGCACAGCTCCAAACCCCAGAGAAAGTCTTGGGACAAGCTTCCATCTTGCATTTGTCTGAGCCAGACTCACAGGTACACAACAACCATACATGCATACTTTCATTCTTTAAATAACTCTTGCATTCGAACAAATCATGTAGTTCCTTTCCTGAGGTTTAACAGCAGAACACAAAGCTGTATCGCAATGCCATGGAATGAACATAGAGTCGTTATTATGCACTGTGGATCATTTAAGGCGTGGTCATTTGCTCTTCTAGATAAATTCAGTGATGATACTGATGAAAGGAAGAGCCACAATCATGGACACAAGAGGACACACCAATACCAGGACATTTGGTAGAGTTGGCCATACATTTTAGACCAATGGTGTAGGTTTGGTTCCAATCTTGGTGGGGACATTCACTACGACCTGAGTCTACACCCATTGACACGGGGTCCAGAGTTTCTCCCCCAAAATTTGTTGTGTAATCACACACTATATTTGCAATAGTGTGTTGCCTTCTATACTAAACTCAGCTGTAGACTGAATGAGAAGCAGTAATAAAAACAGAGGAGAAAATATTGAATTAGAATCTACAGTGAGTATCTCACTACATTGTTTGACATATACGATCAATCTCTAAAAACAATTCATAGTCCCATGCATACCTACAAAATTCCAACCTCGCCTGATGCACTGAAGGGCCTGTTGCTTCTACCTCAACATTCCCTATATTGTTCTCTCTTGGTGGTTGAGTTTCCTATGTATGTTAACAGAAGATTAATCATCACAATTCATAATTTGCTATTACTTGTGCTTTCTCTTACTTACTTTCCAACTGTTAAAAAAGCTCCTGATATGTTTTATCTTTTTTTGTGGAGGTGGCATTTTTTCTAAATTATATAAGAAGGTATAGACAATCAAAAACAGACATTCATATACATGAACTGCAGAATCATTTATATAACTTGGCCAATGTCAAAAGTTACATAGTATTTCTCAATACAATGAGTTAACAAGAGTTTGGCAATAAGTAACAGTGTGGATTTTTCTATATTTTCTTTTTTTTTATTCCACTCTCAACCCAAAAAGGCAAGTAATGACTCACAGGGCTCTCAAGTATGCAAAATAAAAACTTAAATGACCTGTTGTGGTGTGTTTTGCGCACAACCAGCATGCATCGTTAACGCAATGGAAAATTTAGGTATCCGAGATTTAATTTCGGGAGCGCTGGTTGCGCTTTGGGAAGAGTCAGGGGAGAGACATGTCAGAGACACAGGGGAGAAACGGGGGAGATACGAGGGAGACCCGCACTTGCAACATGGTTCTGTCTGCATATGGTCCGAGCTCGGTACCATGTTAGAGCTGTGCTTTCACTGAGCGCCGCGGCTGTCATTACAAAGCGGCAGCAGCTGCACCAGGACGTGCACATTCGAGTGCATCGCTTGAATGTGCTTAGAGCAAATAACAGCAAGTGCCCGCTGTCACACATTTCACAGAAATTACATTATCAGCAGATAAAAGTTGTAAATCGTGGATCCGTGGAATATTTTCGTCCCTAGTTTATCCTGATTCACACAACACACCCACTTATACATTTTGGATAGTAAGAGCACAATAAGTATTTTTTCAGCCTTTCAACCAACCTGTTTCTTTATTGGAGCCAGTTCTGTTCTGTCTCTGTGCCGTGTGAGCTCCTCGGAACATTAAACAGTGCGCTGACAGATTAGAAATAACGTAAGTACTTTGAATGGTAATAGATCTACAGAACTTTCCTCTGATTACTCACGTGCTACAACGCTCAGGGAATAAAAAAAACACTTGCTTCACGCTGGCTAACTTTTAAAAATTAAACAGTTGCTCAGTGCTTCAGTTTGGCGCTGAAGAAGACAGCCAATCACTGCAGAGAACGGAACGGGTCACGTGCTGCTGCTGCTGCTGTTGCTCTGGAGGCGAGGAGGAGGCGCGACGTATGCACAAACGGAAGACATGTGTCCCGGACCGTCCGGGTCACGGGACACATGTCATTTTGGTGGGGACTTTTTAGTCCTCACCAAATATTGGTGGGGACATGTCCCCATGGTCCCCACGCAAACCTACGCCCTTGTTTTAGACAACACACCTACATAATTAGTTTTAACAAGAGCAGAGATGAAGAGATTATGAGTACTTTATCAAAATTCCAGCGAGGAGAGTAGAGTTCCTCATTATCAATGGTAAAAGGCAGATTTATCCCAATTGAACTTATAACCAGAGACGCCTAGTAGTTAAATATTGATTGAACATCCCCCACATACAGGCACATCCTCTTGTTATACTTTTTACACATTATTATGATGAAGCATACAAGAATCCACAAACATACAGTACACTGGTGCATGTCAGAGTCTCTTCCATCAAAGGCAAAATATGGGATGGCCTCAGTTGACTGTCTGCTGACCCCCTCCTGCCAGGTGACAGCAATGGTCAGAATAAGGGGTGATATGTTGATGGGGTCTTTGTATTCCCTTCCTGCTAAACCAGGCTTAGGCATGATCATGTCCAGCAACTCATCTAAAGGATCTCTTGCTGGAATTCCCGACAGTGTGTACTGTGATACTGCAATGTCAGAATGTGCAATATAGTTCTGTGAAGTGTGAACTTGTCTGTGTGAACTTATTCTGCATAATATTGTTGTTTGTAACAATATTAGTAAGAGAGAAAACTACAAACTGTTCGTTTCAGCTTACAGTTGATTGCATCCCACACACGTGTACGGGTTGTGTTTTCCGTTTATTCATCTGTGTCTAAGTGACGCCAAATGCTCTGGGCAAAATGACTGCTTTCAATCTGTTTCTACAGGAGGCCATAATTTCAGGTTTGCAGCCAGAGACCACGTACTCTGTGACTGTAGCGGCGCACACCATGGAGGGAGAAGGAGCTCCCAGCAGGGGGCGCCTGGCCATCACCACAGGAGCAGGTTTGTGTCCTTTGGAAACTATCCAATGTCACCTAATTTTTCAAATGAATGTGAAATTAAATTTATGTGAGAGGATTAGTAACACTGTTTGTGTTTTATTTGATTTCCCTGTGTGCTCTTACTACTGTCCTGTCTGTGCGCTGCAACATCGAAATGTCCCCTCTGTGGGACGAATAATGGAATTCTTATCTTATCTTATTTTCAATCACGCGTGTTGTGCTCTAACATTCCACAGCCCCTACTGCCCGGGCGCTAGAACTACATTGTATTTTGTTGCCATGTAAATGCTGTGCACTTAAAAAAGGAGCCTGGTTGTTTTTGCTAATTGCTTTGCAGCGTCTCCGTCTAAACTGGCTAGTATGTTTCTTACAGAATTTTGATAGAGATAAGACTTGAAAGCGATAGTGGAGTGGAGATGAACATCTTAACACAAATGTAGGGGAACTCTTGTCTGAAGCCAGGTGGCAGCGCAGTGGTTTCTCGTTTGTCGTGGGGGTTACGTTCTAAAAATATCCCGCCATAAGTGAAATCCGTGAAGGAGCTATGTACTGCCTTTTAAGGCTGTAAAACTCACATATTTACACTTTTCTACCTACCTAAACTCATGACTGCTGAAGTGCGAAAGCGGAGATATAAAACCTGTTTGTTAAAGGTCGGAGCGCTGCCAAGCATACGCTGTAAAATACAGCTTCATAAGACACTGAGAGGCTGAGGGGGCAGGAGCAGGGCTGAGGGCTACAGGAAGATTGCAGTAGTCCTCTGCACTAATCATGGCGGTGCACACAAGCCACAACATTTTTCTTGGGATGGGTTTGGGCTAATGACCGAAAGAACGAGATCGCGGATACAAGCGGTCGAAATGAGCTTCCTCCGCAGAGTGGCTGCTCCCTTAGAGATAGGGTGAGGAGCTCAGTCACACGGGAGGAGCTCGGAGTAGAGCCGCTGCTTCTCCACGTCGAGAGGAACCAGTTGAGGTGGCTCGGGCATCTGTTCCGGATGCCTCCTGGACGCCTCCCTGGGGAGGTGTTCCGGGCACGTCCCACCGGGAGGAGGCCCCGCGGAAGACCTAGGACACGCTGGAGGGACTATGTCTCTCAGCTGGCCTGGGAACGCCTTGGGGTCCCCCCGGACGAGCTGGAGGAAGTGTGTGTGGATAGGGAAGTCTGGGCGTCTCTGCTTAGACTGCTGCCCCCGCGACCCGACAACGGATAAAGCGGAAGAAAATGGATGGATGGATGGATGGGTTTGGGCTAATTATCACTTGCGGCTGCACATGTAGATCCTGATTCAAATCTAGTGTTTTCTTCAATTGCTCTGTCCCATATTCTAGTAAACTATAATAATAATAATATTATAGTTTGTAATAAATTCTAATAAATAATAATTAATGTGTATGAGCTTTCCATAAAGAATAGTAACTCACTTTATTTGGCCTTTTGCAGTGCCAAGTCAGCCCACCATGATGATCAGCACCACGATCAGCAAAACTGCCCTAATCCAGTGGCAGCCTCCCCAAAAGATGGTGGGCGAGCACATGGGCTACCAGCTGCAATACAAGAGTCTGGAGGAGGGCGTGTTCACAGTGAAAGACTTTAGAGCCACAGATGACCACTTCACTGTCACTGGGCTTCTGAAGGGGGCCACTTACGTCTTCAAGCTCTGTGTCCAGAATCGAGCCGGCTGTGGCCAGGAGCGAGTGAAGGAAATCAGCCTCCCAGAGGACATCCCGGACGGGTACCCTCAGAACTTCACCGTAGTAGGGAAGTCCTCCACTGGCACTGAGCTGTCATGGGACCCTCCTCACCTGTCCCAGAGGAACGGCAGGATTGTACAATACATGGTGGTGTACCGTGACATCAACAGCCAGAGCAACAGCAGCCACAACACCAGCTCCACCCGCCTGAGCCTAGATGGTCTGCAGCCGGACACTACCTATGACATTCGAGTTCAGGCCTTCACCAGCAGGGGACGAGGGCCCCTGAGTCCCAGCATTCAGAGCCACACTTTAGCCATCCCCATGCCAGGTGACCACTTCTCAATTTGTAACTGTGCTCAAACAGCTGTGAACTTTACACGAAAAGCTGCTAGCTTAAACTCGTTCACATCAAAGCCCGCCCACCACTTCCACCCAGCGTATTTTGCTATTGTAGGATACGTCAAATTTACTAAAAATTTCTTGCTAAAATTTTGTGAAAAAGTGTCCATCGCCACACGTCGATGCGTCAGAGGTGGGAACTTACTCTGAGAATTGGGTGCCTTTCCTAGCCAGGAGTGTGGGGGGTCCTGTCTTGTGGGTGTTAGGGTAAAGTGTCTGGAGGGGTGGACTAGATTTGTCAATGATTTTCTGTCCAAATCACTAAACCAGACAGTGATTCAGAAGGTGAGTATTCTGTGGATGATTAAGGTGTGAAGCTGTTTGAGCAGGTTGGGTCCGAGCTGAGCTGGCTAGAGGAAAAGTGTGGTTATGGGAGAAGTTCACAATGGTTTCCTGTAAGTATTGAGATGAAGTGCCCGGCGAGCAGGCCGTAACAGTAGTCTAACCTACTACTAAAGTAACACCACAGAACAAAGTGACACCGCAGACTGTGGACATGGGACAAACTGTGGTGGACATATTCAGAACAGTCTCCATTGAAGGAGATACAGAGATAAGTAATATAGTGATGGGAAAACTATACCGACAGAAGCCTGCATCGAAACACTGCATTGGAGTGTTTGAGAAAACAGCCGCTCATGTGACAAATGTGTCAGCGTCTTGGACGCTGCCGCCATTGCTTCCCTTTGCATATCAATATTGTCAGTGTTTCGAAGAATTTAATCGGGTCAGTGAGTTTCCCGGCTTCAGTGGATAGGCGCATCAACATTACTTAACAAGGTCGGTTATTGAGAAGATAAAAATAGGTGCACAATTCAAAACAAGACAAGAATGTTCAGGACTTGTGTTTTCTCTTTGAAGGAAGTTTGTTTTTGTCTGTGAGCCTGTTTAAAAACTTGAAACTACTGACACACCCATACGAAAATCTTGGATTATTTGTTTAATCGTAAAAAAACCCAAAAAAAACTGTACACTGTATTAGGTTTTGGTCCAATATGTTATAATGCAATCATTTTAATGTTTTTTTTATAAACATTTAACCAGTCCGGCTCTCGGCTTTTAGCAAATTTAGTTTTTTGATGTATTTGACCTTGGCATCTGTCTTACACTATCACTTAAGGTTCAAAGTTCAACTTTTTTGTCCCCTGAGGGAAATTTGTCTTTGGCTCTTAGTACTGTTGGATACAAACATACAAGACAACATGAGAACTACCAGCTTGTCAGTACAAGTACAACACAAGAATATACAATAGTGTTGCTTAATCCATGTCCATTTAGTCCATGTCTACTTAGTTCTTTGGACTCGATCCGTGTCAGAAGCTGCATTAATCACATCTGTTCACTTGATGTCAGTGTTACAAGCTAACCAAAGCCAGCTTAGAGGCTTTGACACATTTGAAACAGTGGTACGGGCTCCATTTGCCCATAACTGACGTGATTTAATTTATATAAAGCTGGAAATATGTTTTGTGTACATTTTAATTGCTGAAGTCCAAAAGTACAGGAAAACTGGAATACGTTTCTGACATGCATATGTGTTTTTATATTTTCAGCATTTATCAAGAACTTCACAGTGAAAATGGTGACCAGGACCTCTGTGCTTCTCACATGGGAAGTGCCAGATGCCTTGAAATCCGGAGTGCCTCTGAAGGTAAGACCATGTCCTTCATACATACAGTTCTCACCGGCAACTCAAAGTGCTCGGCAAAGCCAGCATTGTCAGTGTAGAAGCCTGTCTCACTGTAACGCTGTTGTGTTTGATTTATTCTATCAATACAATCTTTCAAATATCTAAATATATTCATAGATAAATGCAACACGAATAGAGTGCCTCTTAAATCTAACTATTTTGTCCTTTCTAGAGAAAACCTCTTTCATTTTGTGGCTTGTGAACAAAAGTTGGACATACCAAAATGTATTTGCATATCTAAAATTACGTCTTACACATAACATGCTTGTTTGATGCATCATTTTAAAACTACAGCCTTCTAGTGTATGTAGGTATACACTAGAAAAATGCAAGTTTTTTGGGGAAAAAAAGTTGGCAACAACTATCTAAAGTTTCAGACCTCTGCGATGCAGTTATCCTTTTTCATAAACTAGTGCCATTCGGGCTATTTGGTATAGTTTAAGCCAATATAATATATATTCAAGATGGCGCCGCGTATGGTCGCCACGGCTCTTTGGTGCCCTTTGTTTTTTCTGTTTAATGAGACAGCTTTAACCTCAGAGGCCGCATCAAGAGCAAAGTTATATGTGCCTAATGATTCCAAGATTCCTTATTTGTTACTGCTAACCAGTAGCGGCGCCAGGTTTGCAATTATGGGTAGGCCTGCAGATTAGTGAGTAGGCCTAAATCGCTCGCAAATTCAAAGAAAATGGTTCAAACGCACACACACGCACTCAAGCACACACACGCACTCACGCGCACGCACTCAAGCACGCACACGCACTCAAGCACACGCACTCAAGCACGCACATGCACTCAAGCACATGCACTCAAGCACACGCACTCAAGCACACGCACTCAAGCACACGCACTCAAGCACACACACGCACTCACGCGCACGCACTCAAGCACGCACACGCACTCAAGCACACGCACTCAAGCACGCACATGCACTCAAGCACACGCACTCAAGCACACGCACTCAAGCACACGCACTCAAGCACACGCACTCAAGCACACGCACTCAAGCACGCACATGCACTCAAGCACATGCACTCAAGCACACGCACTCAAGCACACGCACTCAAGCACACGCACTCAAGCACACGCACTCAAGCACACGCACTCAAGCACGCACATGCACTCAAGCACACGCACTCAAGCACGCACACGCACTCAAGCACACGCACTCAAGCACACGCACTCAAGCACGCACACACACTCAAGCACACGCACTCAAGCACACACACTCAAACACGCACACGCACTCAAGCACGCACACAAGCACACGCACTCAAGCACACGCACTCAAGCACGCACATGCACTCAAGCACACGCACTCAAGCACGCACATGCACTCAAGTAAGTAAGTAAGTTTTTTATTTATATACCGCCTTTTCACTGCAGATCTGAGTCTCAAAGCGGTTTACAATTGTTAATTTTTTGGGCATTTGTCTCTCACTCCACACAGAGATGGGAGCGGGGCCAGTACAGGAGGCGCATGCTAGAACTATTGGACATATTTTTAGTGGTAGGGGAAACCGGAGTACCCGGAGGAAACCTACGCAGACACGGGGAGAACATGCAAACTCCACTCAGAAAGGCCCTGGTCCGACCGGGATTCGAACCCAGGACCTTCTTGCTGAGAGGCAAGAGTGCTAACCACTCAGCCACCGTGCCGCCCACACGTGCCGCCCACACAGTGCATGTGCACGCACATGCACTCAAGCACGCACATGCACTCAAGCACACGCACTCAAGCACGCACATGCACTCAAGCACGCACATGCACTCAAGCACACGCACTCAAGCACGCACATGCACTCAAGCACGCACATGCACTCAAGCACGCACATGCACTCAAGCACACGCACTCAAGCACGCACACGCACTCAAGCACGCACATGCACTCAAGCACACGCACTCAAGCACGCACATGCACTCAAGCACGCACATGCACTCAAGCACGCACATGCACTCAAGCACACACACAAGCACACGCACTCAAGCACGCACACGCACTCAAGCACACGCACTCAAGCACGCGCACACGCACATACGCACACAGGCCTGGAGTTTACCTCATTAGTGCGAGCCTGGCCTGACTCCTCTTCTCTTCTGTGGCCGGCCTCTTCTGGCTCCTCTATCTCACAAAGTTCACACTGAACTTTCTTAAAACTAAAATGAAAAAGGTTGCTCTGTTGTGAATGTTTTTAGAGCATTGTCAATCTTTAAGACGAGAAATAGCCGTTTGTTCTTTGGGAACAAGCTTCGCGCACGGGTTTCGCGCTGTTTGATATGATCTTGCAGATTATTGGACATAGTGTCCAGCCAATAAACGGAACTATATTTTGAAGCAACGTAGGAACGTGATGACGCTCAGGGGTTACATTATCTAAAAACATTAGAACGCAACATTTTGGCAATAATTTGTGTATAATAATATTTAAATTATGACTTATAAATAAAAAAGGCTTATGACTTGAGAGGCGAAGAACAAATTTGAGTAGGCCAAGAAAAAACTAGGCCTATCCCTGGCGCCGCAGCTGCTGCTAACTTACACAGGAGGCATTACAGCACGTACGCGTTGTAAGTGCAGCAGACGCGCGTAACCTTTTTCCAAGTTAACTTATGGTGATATTTACACTGGTGTTATACGCGTGTATGACGGACGTATGACGCGGGGCTGCGCCTAATTTAGGATGGATTTCTAATATTGTGCGCGCAGCAACGCGTCTCCCAGTCAAAACACATAGGAAACATGCTTCTAGCGATCCTTGGCTCTAGATCGCATCCACACACACTCACGCACGCAGGAGCAGCAGGTTTTACAGGGATTCTGGATATTGTTTTTTTTTTCACTCATAAAGTCTGGCCAAACCAGCAACAGAGGCCATGAAGACAAACACATGCATGTGATTTGTGTTGCTCAGTCCTCTGGCCCGTACTGTCCTCCATAGACTACACATGGACAGCTCCAAAAGCCGCGGACCTGCGTGCACGGCCAGTGGACATACAACCGAGTAATGTTACACACATATGCGTGCAGTCAACGCTTACGCGCTTACTGTGGAAATTCCCAATTATGAACATTGGTCATCTGCCCCAAGAAATGCAATGATATAAAACACATAGAGCCATGGCGCTATGTGTTTTATATCATTGCATTTCTTGTGTTTGAACAGTTCTCTGATCTGTGTTGGCAAATTCAACGGTTTTGTAAAGTCCTCAGAGATAACTACTGTTTTAGTGGGGGACCTCTGGGGAACGGGACCCCTGAGCCTGGCCTCCGCCATCTACACCTGCGGACTGCCCCGCCCGACCCGCCTGGGAGTGCTTCAGTCCTGCACCGGACCTGTCCACGCTCTGCGGCCGCTGGTCCACGTTCTGCAGCTTAGGTCCTGGATCTATAGCCTGTCCGTCCGTGGGAGCGGATCCCTTTCTCAAACCATGGCTCTCCCCGAGGTTTCTCACTTTTTCCCACTGGGTTTTCTTATGAGTTTTTCCTCTGATGCAGGAGGGTCTGTTGGACAGTTAGTGTCTAACTAGAAGGACTGTGATGATCCAGGACACTTCAACATTCTACAACATGTGACATTTATCACCATGTGTTCTATATTCTTTATGTGTTTTAACTGTGTTTTAACTGTGCAGTCAGGTTATGTGGACATAAGCGCTGTCATGACTGCAGATGAACTAATAGCCGTTGACAAGGGCCTTTCTTATTGAGCAGTAATGTTGTGCAGGACTGTAAGTCTGTTTAGCCAAGTGATCATTGCAGGTTCAATGAATTAGCCAAACTAACAGAATAAAACTTATACAGCTTGAAATTTTGCCCATGTGATCATGTTACAACCACAAACCTTTTTAACTCAAGCAATGGTGAAGCTTTTATGATCGTAGAACTGTATTTTATTTGTGTGTTGTGTTTTGTAAGGTCTGGAAAGTACTTTCTGAGAGGATAGCACTCTTGCTTCTCAGCAAGAAGGTTCTGGGTTCGAATCCTGGTCGGTACAGGGCCTTTCTGATTGGAGTTTAAGAGTTCCTTTATTCGTCCCACAGTGGGGAAATGTTGATGTTGCAGTGCACAGACAGGACAGTATAAGAGCACACAGGGAGCACACAATATATACAAAAAAGTAGTAGCTATGTTTCTTAACTAGCATAACTGGCTGTAGATGCTGAAAATGCTTCAATACCAGTCAACAAATATGTAGTAGTGCAGAGTTATGTACTGTACATATAGTGCAGGGTAATAAGTAGATACAGTAAAGTGACATTGATCAGTGGATATTCTGAAGTTGCACATTGCACATGATTTAAGAATTTACTTATTTACAGATGAATGAAATTTACAGGCTCAGAAGTTCTTATTGTACAGTCTGACAGCAGCAGGAAGGAAAGACCTACGGAACCTCTCCTTCACACAGCGAGGGTGAATTAGTCTGTCACTGAAGCTGCTCTCCAGAGCAGAGAGAGTGTCCTGCAGGGGGTGACAGTCATGGTCCAGCATAGATGTGAGTTTGTCCAGGACCCTCCTGGCCCCCACCTGCTGCACTGTGTCCAGGGAACAGCCCAGGATTGAGCTGGACTTCCTGATGTTCCAGCTTCTTCCTGTCCCTCTCTGTGATGCTGCTGCTCCAGCAGACCACACCGTACAAGAGGCTGATGCCACCACAAAGTCATAGAAGGTCTTCAGGAGTGGCCCCTGCACTCCAAAAGACCTGAGCCTCCTCAGTAGGTAGAGCCGGCTCTGGCCCTTCTTGAAGAGAGCGTCTGCGTTATGAGTCCAGTCCAGTTTGTGGTTCAGATGAACACCCAGGTACTTGTAAGAGTCCTTTCCCTGGATGATCACTGGAGCTGGAGCTGCAGAGTGACGTCTGCGGAAATCCACCATCTCCTTGGTCTTCCCCGCGTTGATGAGGAGGTGGTTCATCTTCTTGGTCTTCCCCGCGTTGATGAGGAGGTGGTTCATCTCCTTGGTCTTCCCCGCGTTGATGAGGAGGTGGTTCATCTCCTTGGTCTTCCCCGTGTAGATGAGGAGGTGGTTCCGCTGACACCAGTCCACAAAGTTCTGTATAACTCTTCTGTACTCTGTGTCATCGTCCTCGGAGCTGAGTCCGATGATGGCAGAGTCGTCGGAGAACTTCTGGAGGACACAACCGCCCGTGTTGTGTCTGAAGTCCGCAGTGTAGAGGGTGAAGAGGAACGGCGCGAGGACTGTCCCCTGGGGGGCCCCCACACTGCAGGTCAGGACCTCAGACACAAAGTCCCTGGTTCTCACAAACTGGGGTCTGTCTGTGAGGTAGTCCAGGATCCACTGGGACAGGTCGTAGTCCACTCCATCTTGGCCCTGAGAAGCTTCGGCTGGATGGTGTTGAAGGCGCTGGAGAAATCAAAGAAGAGGATCCTCACAGTGGAGTCAGGTTTCTCCAGGTGGGACAGGAAGCGATGGAGGAGGGAGATGATGCCGTCCTCAACTCCGATGCCCGGCCTGTAGGCGAACTGCAGCGGGTCCATCGCTGGGCTCAGAGTGGAGCGGAGATGTCCCAGGACCAGTCTCTCCAGTGTCTTCATGCAGTGGGATGTTAGAGCCACCTGCTTGAAGTCGCTGAGGTCTTTGGCCCGTGGTTTCTTGGGCACTGGTACCACACAGGAGGTCTTCCAGATCTGTGGTACCGCCCTCAGCCTGAGGCTCAGGTTGAAGACTCGCTCCACCAATCCACAGAGTTCGTGTGCGCAGGAGCGAAGGAGCCTGGAGCTTATGTTGTCTGGTCCTGGAGCTTTCCTGGTCTTTATCCTCCTCATCTCTGTCCTCACCTGAGCAGCGGTGAATGACGGGGGGGCTGGGATGGGTGGGTGCTGAGTAGGGAGGACGGGGGCTCAGTGGTGGAGGGGTAAGTGTCTCTGGGAGGGCTGGGGGGAGACTGTGGTGCCATGACAGAGATTCAGATTCAGATTCATTTATTTGCCATTTGCAGTAAAACCACATAGGAAAAACTGTGCAAGACTACCCCGGTGTGCACCAACACACACCAGAGCTCTTGCCACGGCGCCATCTTTACGGCGCCATGCGAGAGGTGGGAACAATCGTAGGTGTTGCCCTTTGTTCCGCTGCCGGAGTGAGGGGGAGTGTCTGCACGGGGGAGGGGAAGGCTGGTGGTCAAAGCGAGCAAAGAATGTGTTAAGCTCGTTTAGGCCCCGTCCCAATTCTCACCCTTGCCCTTAGGTGTGAGTGCCCTCACCAGCAAAGTGCCTTCCCAGTGGGGAGTGCACTCATAACATTCTCCCTAAGAATTGGGACACCCCTGGATCCAGAGGACAACATGCAAATGACGCAGCAGACGTGTTCCACGTCACACACATTATCAAAGTATCTGATTTCACCACAGATAAGCTCTGACACAGATATGACTTTATGAAACACAGTATTTATCAAAATGAGAAGTTTTTAATTCTATTTCATATGAAGTTTTGCTATAATTAGGTACAGAACTGCTGCACATCATGCACACAGACACACACGCACACACACAGACAGACGCATGTACATACGCGCACAGACGTACCAAACAGACAGACACATGTACATATACGTATGCGCACAGACACAGACGGGTACAGCTGCGGTCCCGCGGATCACAAAGCAAACTGTGTCAAAGCGATGCTCTGAACTACATTATGGATCTATAATAATAACATGGATCTATAATAATAACATAAATCCACTTCTCTGAAGCCTCACGCTTCACGCTGCAGCCGCTTTGGGAACGAACGTCACCGCACACGGCACCAACACACGCATTAAAAATTCTGAAAGATTCGCACACGCCTCGGAGCTTCCTCCCGTTCCGCACAGACTTGCGCGCTGGTGTTTCATGTTGTTTTCTTTCATTGTGGCGCGGCTTTGCCCGACTGCTGCTTTACCAACAGCTATCCTAATGCATCATGGGATCACCCTCGCTCGCGAGTGAGCTCCGGACCTCACTTACACTCAAGGGTGGTTTTTAGAGGTGTGAAGGCCCTCGCCTCTTCTCCCTAAGTATTGGGACACCCTTCCACTCCCGCGGGCACGCACAAACTCTAGGGCAAGTGTGCTTTTTAAGGGCAAGGGTTAGAATTAGGACGGGGCCATACATGTTCTCCCTGTGTCTACGTAGGTTTCCTCCGGGTACTCCGGTTTCCCCTACCACCACTAATTACATGTGCAATAGTTCAGGGTAAATGAGCGTGTGTTTGTGAGTGCGAATGTGGGACAACGGACGCTTATTAGCCCAAGGCTACAATCCAGAGTGATGTGTTCATGTACTGTCCCAACCAAATAAATAATAAATAAAAAGTGCTATATAAATTAACGTGACCTTGACAAACATAAATATTTTATGAATTATTGTGTATGTTTCAGATCAGCTACGGCCTGCACAGCGTGGAGGTGCCTTGCACCCAGCTTAGGGCCCTCATCAGAGGCCTCCAGGAGGACACTGTGTATTCCTTTGTGCTCAGCAGTGGAGAGGTCCAGCAGCAGGTGTCTGTCCACACCCCTCCTTTCCTGTTGACCACTGCTCCAGCCTTACACCTGCATGGGCCTAAGCAGAGGGACACCCTGGCTCTCAACCTTCCCCACACTACTGCAAGCAACTTACGGTAGTCCAGCTGACTCTTCTACTCATGGACGTACAGTGGCTTTAAACAATGTTCATACCCATTTTTGTCATAGATTTTACCATGTGTTATTCTTTTTTATTGCAGGTGTTTTGATTTATAACATATGTAAAATTTTGCATGTGATCAGAAGAAAGCCAGTTCTTTTGATTGCCTCTTGGGTCATAAGATATACAAATGATCAGGAGCAGAAGAGGCGACCATATGCATGCAGATGCATTATAACGTGATAAATTGATTATTGATTAACATTCAGGTTTCAAGTCTGAGTCTTGAAACCTATGGGAATGGAATGTAGATAGGTTATTGTCCTAGCATTGACTTGGAGATGTGAAAGCCTCTCTGGTCCGGTGAGTATGTTGGTGCATGTTATTAGTGGAGGAAACCTACGCGGACACAGGGAGAACATGCAAACTCCACACAGAAAGGCCCAGACTGGCACAAGATTGAACCCATGACCTTCTTGTCTGCCAAACCACTTGTTAGTATTGACGTATAAGTGGTTTGATGTATGTATGTCTGTTTTCATATCAGCAAGAAAAGGTTTAAATCTAACCCAGATTTCACCAGAACGTACATATTTGGTAAGGCGTAAAAGGAAAAAACTTTCAGAAAAACAAGAAGTAAAGTATAGATAGCAGGGGGGAAATGAATGACTTGCGACCTCTGTAATTCAATACACTAAACGTGCTGTTTAATTCATTATTGATTCATTATAATTAACTACTGACTATTGTGTATTTAAGTTGTTATCTTCTTTGTGGTTTTCTTTGAAGTTACTACAGTTCCCCTGAAGGAACACATACACACCCAACAAACACACTATGGAATTTTGTTCCAAAAAGTTTTAGTGAGGACGTCTCTTTTGCTGATTTAATTACCACCACCTGATTAGACAGTATGAATATTTTACATGTGTGTCTTAACGCTCATTTTGTGTTAGGAACTGGCACCACTGCCCGTTGTTAGTGGGTCAGTTCAGACCCGGGGTGTAACTCAGTCCTGACCTCTAAAAAGAAAGAATTATCACTCGATATAGTTAATACTACATCTTAACATATATAACTATATTAATAATAGTTACGTTCGTGGGGTTAGGTTCAAATTTGACCCGCATATAGATTTGTTAGTAAAAGGAGCCTTTGTTCTTCAGAAAACTACTTTATTTTTAGAAAACACTACTTTTCTGAAAGTTTTCTGGAGTTTGGTCTGAAAAGCTCCAATGCAGTCTTTATGTTTTGGATCTGTGACTTTACAAATCGAGTGGATCCAGGAGTCATTTTTATGATATTTGCTGATTTTGCTCTGCCTTCATTTTCATATGGGTTCGAGACCAAACCTATCATTCTTTGAAACAAAGCCCTGCTCTGGTTCATTCAGTCACTTCTTTATCTGAATCTGATGTTTCTTCATCTTGATCTGGATCATCCACCAAATCATTCTCAGATACATCCTCCTCTATATTAGCCTGATCTGGCGGGATTGTGGCTGAGAGAATAGCACTACTGCTTCTCAGCAAGAAGGTTCTGGGTTCAAATCCTGGTCAGAACAGGTGCGTTTCAGAGTGGAGTTTGCATGTTCTCCCAGTGTATGCATAGGTTTCATCCAGGTGCTCCGGTTTCCCCTATAGAACTAAAAACATGGGCAACAGGTAAAATTCTCTAGTTATGGTCCTGATCAAGCCAAGCATTCACATCTGGAGATGGGTCCAAGGACACTGTTCTGCAGCCACCTCTGTTCCTGATAGAGAAGTAGAACTTGCAGGATAGGTCAAATGCAGAGGTCAAATTTTCCTACGGGACAATAATGTGCACATCCGTCTCCTCCAAAGACTCTTCCTCCACGAGGATGTGATCAAGAACCTCACGGACTGTGTAAAGTAAAGGTAAAGGTGCATTTTATTTATCTCCAAATGGTAATTTCTCCTCTGCATTTGACCCAGTCTCATGCCACTAGGGCAGGGATCTCAAACTGGTTCCAGAAAGGGCCATCCTTCCAACAGTTCCAAACTGAACAGGAGCAGAGACGACTCCACCCATTTCCTCAGGTGAGTCCAGTTTTCACCGGAAGATTTGAGGAAATGGGTGGAGTCATCTGTGCTCCTGCTCAGTTTGGTACTGTTGGAAATAAAACCTGCAGCCACATGGCCAATTCTGGAACCGGTTAGAGACCCCTGCACTAGGGCCTCTGTTAGGAGCAGTAGTCGCTTACTGCACCCAGGACCCATCTACAGATGTTGATGCTCGGCTTGGTCAGTACCAGAGCTGGAGGATTTTAGCTATTGCGCATGTTTTTTTGTGGTACGGGAAACTGGAGCACCCAGAGGAAACCTACACAGGCACAGGGAGAAAAAAACTGCACCCAAAAAGGCCCTGTTCAGTCCGGGATTCAAATCCAGGATCTTCTTGATGAGACATAAGGGGTTGTCTGTGTATGCAAAAAAGTGTCTAGACAGGACAAGTTTGAGTACAACATTTCATCTTTTTGTTCACAAAGTGTAAGATGTATGTCAGATCTCACATGTGTGGTTCACATACTGTACTGTGAGAAAAGATTTGTTCTCGTGGAGAAAGGGGATGAAGGTGGGGTCACACCTGTATTGTACTCGAGTAAATGATTAGTCCTGGGGAGGAGGGCTGGTGGGGAGGAAACATACTTTGATGTGAGAAAAGATTTTTTCTCTTGGAGGAAGGAGGTGGGATCAGAAAATGTATGAATTTTGCACAGTTTTACCTGTTTAGTGTAGTTTTACATTGCATTACACCACAGTCGTATCTATTTTTCTGCCGATACTTTCAGAAATATGAAAATCGTAAAACGTAGTTTTGCTGCGTCTATATACGTGTTGTGGAGGATGTCATAAAGCCTCGTTCTCATAAAATCATCTACATGGAAGTTATTTCATAATATAACTATAGGAGACAGATCAGGGTTCACTGGGTGTGTGTGTGTGTGTGTGTGGCTGCACAGCAGGGGGCGGGGCTCACGGGGCAGGTGCGCGTGCACGAGCAGGGGTAAAAGTGTGCGTGTATCTGTCAGGCGAGTGAGTCAGGGCTCAGTGGGTAGCCGTATTTTTTGTTGACCGTTCGTTCGTTTGTTTGTTTGTTTGCCTTATACCTTTTTGTTTGCTCACATCAGGTTCTATGTTACAGTTCAACAGTTTATCATTTTTCCATATTTTGTTTGCTGCACCTTTTTAAGTCAATAAATCACTTTAAAACACAATACCAGGATCAAGGATTTATTAGCATAGGCTTCAATACGCGTCATCACATTACAGGACCCACTCTGACCGGCTCAGCGGCTCAGGTCTGCAGGAAGCTGCAACAATAACCATGAAACGGGTCGCTGGAGACCCTAACACAACATAAGGGTTAAGGAGGCCACAATAATAAAGAAAATGTCTTGGTTCATGTTGATAGTGGTTGTTGAGTTTAGCTTTATCACAAGGATTTATGGTTGGTTTCATATGATACTTTTACCGGCCTGATGTCCTTCTGTCCTTCACAGATGCTACTACATAGTTGTTGTCCCAGTGTCTGAAGCACATGCGGATCAGTGGACGAACCCAGACCAGATGAACCTAGAGGAGGTGAGGTACCAAGAATATATTCTTTCTCATCAGAGAAAAGGGAGGTTTTGGGGCATAGCTCTTCTTCACACTATATTTATTCTCATATAGAAAAAATATATGAGGAGAATATGCAAAGCTTGTGTCACTCTTTCCGAAGCAAATTGCTTCGAAACACTGCATTGGAGCGTGTATCAAAACAACCGGTGACGTGACAAACGTGTCAGTGTCCCGGACTCTGCAGCCGCTGCTTCAATATACCCCGGGGTATATTCTGGCCGAGGCTATTTTATACCTGGGCATAAACTTGCCAGGGGGTATAAAACGGCCTGTTACACCGGCCCACGTCGCTGCTCTAAACTGGATTAAAAGACAAAGAACCATCTGCTGCCTCCAGCCAAACTGGAACAAAGGTGTCATCACATGCTGGGTAAACACTCATCAGAGACTGGGCGGGGGAGCGAGACTCCGCAAACAACAGACACACGCACCCAACATAGAACTGGTAAACGGGACAGATATACAGACACTGAAACAAAGGACTCTTTATGACTATATAGTCTGTTGCTGAATCTGCGGTCAGAAAACATCTGATGTCTGCATTGTAACCATGTCTTGCTATTATGCTTTGTGAACAGTTCAACTACTGCTGCAGATGTGTTTTGCAAATCGAGACACACACAGGTCACAGCCCCCATAGCCCCTGTGGTGACAGTTTTTGGAGTAATTACATAAAACCAGCCGCAGCAAATACACGGACGTCAAAGGCCTTTTCGATGCGGAGACGACCTTCTGACGCCATGCTGAGCTTTGTGAAGGTCCCTGCTGTCTGTCACACCCTTGTGTCTTTCGCGTCTCGCATCTGTGTGCTTGCATTTCTGCCATTGTCTGTCTGTTCGCACCTCCATCCCAGACGGCGCCAACGCTCCCCATGCGGTGGCCCCCTCCCATCTGTTGTGGGCGGGACTGGCTTTCGTGTGTGTCTTGTATACAGGAAACTCGGGGCTCTGCGCCCAGAGCTGGTACATGCTGCCTTTGTGTGTATGTGCTGGCTCTCCGCACGTGTGTTAACAATAAACTTACGCTTTTGATCAGACAAAGGACCTTTGAGTTTTCTCCTTCATTGGGTAGAAACTTCCTTAACACCCCCAATGGAACCAATAACGCTGAACAAGGCAGCGACTGACCTGAAAGCTAAGATCATAGCAAGAATGGGCACAGGGCAAAGACACCGGTTACAGCGGTTGTGTGAAGTACCACCTAAGGATCTCATAGAAAGCAAGAATGCAGCAGTGAGGGCGATACCTACCACTACGATCACTGAAACCAATGAGCCGATATACCCTTCAGCAGCAGTGATCCTAGAGATGCTTGGCCATAAGAGCATCCATGGGAGCCATGGACAATACCCACCATGGAAAAGACGGTTGGAGGGTAAGATCAAGGCTGCTCGGAGAGAAGTGAGTCAATTAACAGAGGCCTAGAGAGGTGCAAAGAAAAGACCAGTACCCAGAAAGTACAGCCAGATGACCATACCTGAAGCACTCGAAACTGCCAAACAAAGGCTCCGCAACCCAACCTGCGAAGGAGTACGCTCAGTGGCAGGGTAACAACAGGGGAGCAGACCCACCAAGGCTCGAAACTGAACTGTTCTGGAAGAACATATGAGGAGAAGGATGCAGCACATCCTTCTCCTCACCAGCCAGTGCACAATGGCTGGTGTCCCTGAGAGAGGAGCACAGCCACCTCCCAGAACAGAACTCAGTGACACAGAGGCAGACATCCAAGAAAGAGTGTCAGGTATGAAAAACTGGACAGCACCTGGCCCTGATATAGTCCATGCCTACTGGCTAAGGACACTCACATCACTCCATGAGCGCCTAGCAGCACAAATGAACCAGCTGCTGAGAGATGGAACTCACCCAGAATGGCTAACCGAAGGGCGAACGGTCCTGATCATGAAGAACCCCGTGAAGGGTGCAGTCACCTCCAACTACCGGCCAATAACCTGTCTCTCCACAACATGGAAGCTCATGTCAGGCATCATTGGGCCAAGATAATTGGGCATAAGGAACAATTCATGAGCACAGCACAGAAGGGCATTGGTAGAGACACCAGAGGAGCCAAACACCAGCTCCTGGAGACACCAGAGCTGCCAAACACCAGCTCCTGGTTGACAGAACAGTTGCCCAAGACTGCCGGTCACGACACACCAACCTGTGCACAGCCTGGATTGATTACCAGAAAGCCTGCGACTCAATGCCACACACATGGATCATGGAATGCTTGAAGTTGTACAATATCAACAGGGCTCTAAGGGACTTCGTTGCAAACTCGATGGGAATGTGGAAGACTACCCTTGAGGCAAATGGCAAGCCGCTCGCATAAGTGACCATCAAATGTGGTATCTACCAAGGAGATGCTCTGTCCCCACTACTGTTCTGCATAGGCCTGAACTCTCTAAGCCAAATAATTGACCAGACTGGCTCTGGATACCGCCCTGTGACAGTGATCTCCAAGCACTGTTCTCCTACTCTGGAATATCTTTTCATTCATTGTAAACCATTTTACTCCCCTCGTGAATTTGTTTAATTCATTCTTGCCTCTGTTTACATACCGCCATGCGCGGACGCGCGCGAGGCTCAGCGCGCACTTGCAGAGCAAGTACTGTGTATGGAACGTTTATACCCGGACTCTCTGATTATTATCCTGGGGGATTTTAATAAGGGAAACTTGAGCCAGGAATTACCCAAGTTTATCAAATGCCCGACCAGAGAGGAGAACACTCTGGATCACTGTTACACCACTGTGCGCGGTGCTTTTCGCGCTGTTCCCAAAGCAGCCCTCGGCTTCTCAGATCACTCCATGATACATCTGATCCCTGCTTACAGACAGAGACTAAAGCTCTCGAAACCTGCAGTGAGGAGCTCCAAAGTGTGGTCTGATGAAGCTGTGGAAGAGCTCCGCGCATGCATGGAATCTACAGACTGGGACCTTTTCAGAGCTGCCTCAGATAGTTTGGATGACTACACGGACACTGTGACATCATACATTAACTTCTGCGAGGATAGAAGCATTCCAACAAGGACCAGGGTCATCTATAACAACGACAAACCCTGGTTCACTGCTAAACTCCGGCAGCTCAGGAAAGCAAAGGAGTCTGCTTTCAGGGAGGCGGACCGCAGCGGCTTCAAAGCAGCTAAATATCAGTTCAGGAAAGAACTGAAAGCAGCCAAGTCCCGGCACAGAGAACGACTACAGGAGCAGTTTGGTAACAACGATACTGCTTCTGTCTGAAGGGGCCTACGGGAGATCACCAACTACAAGCCCAAAGCCCCCCCCCTGTGCTGACGACCACAAGCTAGCTGACGAACTGAACTTTTTTTTTCAGTCGCTTTGATGCTGCCCCTGACACCTCCCCCACCCCCCACTACTCTAACGACCCACCCATCAGCCCTGCCCCCACCCTGACTCTAATAGAGTCTCTAAAGATATTCAACAACTCTTCTTGAGGCTGCACCCCCGCAAAGCTCCTGGCCCAGACAACGTGTCTCCGGCCACTCTGAGACACTGCGCCAGTGAGCTTACTCCTGTGTTCACTGACATTTTCAACTCCTCTCTGCAGTCCTGCCATGTCCCGGCCTGCTTCAAATCCTCCATCATTGTCCCCGTCCCGAAGAAGCCCAGGATCACAGGACTCAATGACTACAGACCTGTAGCACTTACGTCTGTCGTCATGAAGTCATTTGAACGCCTGGTTCTCTCCCATCTCAAGTCCTTCACCTCCCCCCTCCTGGACCCCCTGCAGTTCGCCTACAGAGCCAACAGATCTGTAGACGACGCCATTAACCTGGCCCTCCACCACATCCTACAGCACCTGGACTCCCCGGGGACCTACGCCAGGGTCTTGTTCGTGGACTTCAGCTCTGCCTTCAACACAATCCTGCCATCCCTGCTCCAGGACAAGCTCTCCCAGCTCAACGTGCCCGATTCCACCTGCAGGTGGATCACTGACTTCCTGACGGACAGGAAGCAGCGAGTGCGTCTGGGGAAGAATGTCTCGGACTCTCGGATTATAAATACAGGAGCCCCACAGGGCTGTGTTCTTTCTCCCCTGCTCTTCTCCCTGTACACCAACCACTGCACCTCCAGCCACGACTCCGTGAAGCTGCTCAAGTTCGCGGACGACACCACCCTCATTGTACACATCTCCAACAACGATGAGTCCGCCTACAGGAGGGAGGTGGACCGGCTGGTGTCCTGGTGTCTCCTACAGGAGGGAGGTGGACCGGCTGGTGTCCTGGTGCAGTGGTAACAACCTGGAGCTGAACGCCCAGAAGACAGTGGAGATGAGTGTGGACTTCAGGAAGAGCACTGTCCTCCCACCCCCACCTTCCGTGATGGACTCCCCCATCACCTCTGTGGAGTCCTTCCGTTTCCTGGGCACCACCATCACCCAGGACCTCAAGTGGGAGCCGACCATCAGCTCCCTCATCAAGAAGGCCCAGCAGAGGATGTACTTCCTGCGGCAGCTCAGGAAAGCCAAGCTGCCTGCACAGATGTTGGTGCAGTTCTACGCGGCCATATCGAGTCCATCCTCACCTCCTCCATCACCTCCTCCATCACCGTGTGGTTCGCTGGAGCCACAGTCAGGGACAAACAGAGACTACAGCGCATTGTGCGCTCTGCAGAGGAAGTGATTGGCCACAGCCTTCCATCGCTGCAGGACCTGTACGTCGCCCGAGCTCGAGGCCGGGCTGGTCATATCACAGCCGACCCCTCTCACCCTGCACATGGACTATTCCAACCACTCCCCTCAGGCAGGAGGCTGCGGTCCATCAGGACTAGAACCTCCCGCCACAAGAACAGTTTCTTCCCCTCTGCTGTTGGACTCTTGAACACTTCTTAACCTGACCCCCCGCCCTTTATAAAGTCACCTTACTGCCCATCATACGTCACTTTACTTCACTGTACTGCTGTCACCTTACATTGTGTGCACCATGTGCACTTGTATATTGTAAATAGTAACTGTAACTCTATTTTAAATTTAAATTTATTCTTTAGAAGTGTTTTTTATTCTTATTTTTATTATCTCTTTCTGACTGTTGGACTGAGCCAAAGCAATTTCCAAGTCTGTGACTTCCTGTTACTTACGTGGCAATAAAAATGATTCTGATTCTGATTCTGAGGATGGTGACTCGGAGAGGCAAGGTAGTCCACACAGAAGGGATCTCACTCCCACAGGGAACAATAGCAGACGTTGAGGACAGTTACAAGTATCTCGGTATACCACAGGCAAATGGCAACCTCGAACAGGTGACGAGGAAAGCGGCAACTGCCAAATACCTCCAGCGAGTAAGGCAGGTCCTAAGAAGCCGGCTCAATGGCAAGAACAAGGCCCGGGCAATTAACAGCTACGCCCTGCCAGTGATCAGACCCTGCAGGCCAAAGGAAGAGATTCAGACCACGGATGTTAAAACTCGAAAGCTCCTTACCATGCATGGCGGGTTCCATCCCAAATCCAGCCCCCTGAGACTGTACGTAAGCCGTAAAGAAGGAGTCCGAGGACTAGTGAGTGTGAGAGCCACTGTCCAGGACCAAACATCCAAACTCCATAACATCATGGAGAAGGCCAAAACGGATGACGTATTCAGTGAATGTCTCAGGCAGTGGCGAGATGAGGAGTTGCTGGAGGAGAGCCCATCATGGGAGAACAAGCCCCTACACGGCATGTACCACCGGAGCATAACAGAAGTGGCTGATCTCAAGAAGTCCTACCAATGGCTAGAAAGGGGTGGCCTACAGGACGCACTCATCATGGCTGCACATGAGCAGGCCCTGAGCACCAGAGCGATAGAGGCCCAGATATACCACACCAGAGGAGACCCATGGTACAGATATACCACACCAAACAAGACCCAAGGTGTCGGTTGTGCAAAGAGGCACCTGAGACGATCCAACACATAACTGCAGGGAGATGCTGCTGGAAAGGCCTACATGGAACGCCATAACCAAGTGGCTGCATAGTGAACAGAAACATCTGTGCAGAGTATGGGCTGGTCTAAGTGGGAAACTCCTCCAAAGGTGGTGGAGAATGAGCGTGCAAAGATCCTGTGGGACTTCTAGATACAGACCGACCGAATGGTAATGAACCAACCTGACATCGTGGTGGTGGACAAAGGGCAGAGGACAGCCGTGGTGGTGGACAAAGGGCAGAGGACAGCCGTGGTGGTGGACAAAGGGCAGAGGACAGCCGTGGTGGTGGACGTGGCAATTCCAAGCGATGGTAACATCCGGAAAAAAGAACATGAAAAGCTTGAGAAATACCAAGGTCTCAGAGAGGAGCTGGAGAGGGCCTGGAGGGTAAAGGTCACAGTAGTGAGAGGGCCTGGAGGGTAAAGGTCACAGTAGTGAGAGGGCCTGGAGGGTAAAGGTCACAGTAGTGAGAGGGCCTGGAGGGTAAAGGTCACAGTAGTGCCCGTGGTGATGGTGCACTCGGGGCAGTGACCCCGAAGCTAGAAGAGGTTACAACGGATCCCTGGAACAACCTCGGACATCTGGGTCCAGAAATGTGCAGTGCTAGGAACAGCAAAGATACTGCGCAGAACCCTCAAGCTCCCAGGCCTCTGGTAGAGGACCCGAGCTTAGAGAGGGATAACCGCCCGCGGAGGGCCAAAGGTGAGAAAAAATATATATATATATATTAGTATATATACAGGGGTGCACATAACTTTTTCAGTGAAGTACTCAGATGAGTACCAGGAGATGGTGTTTGGTACTTACTCCATTTGTCGCGTGGTTCTTAATCAAGGTTTTACACTTGCTTTATTTAATGCTTAAGTTTAGATTTTTTGGTGGCAGGTGCAAGGTCCAAGTAAAATTGGTCTGTAGTGTAGTCAATTGATGTGGATCTCTAGTTTTAAAGATGGGTAGTACTTGGAAGGTTTTCATTTGAGATGGAAAGATCCCTGTTAGAAAAGACTGATTGCAAATGTGGGTAAAGGGTGGAACAATAGATTTAGTCTTATACTTAATTTTATCAAGATCAAAATTGCAAGTAGACGACTTGTTCATAAATTTGTTTACAAATTTCAAAAAACATCGTTAACAGATCTCATGAACAAAGAGGTTTGATTCCCATTTGTATTACAATTATTTACCACTATCTTCCAGTGGTTAAGTAATGTTTTTGGCAAGGCTCGGCCTGACGTTAGCAGATAATGTGTTGAATGCCTCTTGTGTTTCTTTAATAGTCAAGATTCAGCCTTTTTTCATAGAATACTTTTGTTAAACTTGATGCGCAAGTCATTTTGTTCGGCTCCAATTGTTTAGTTTTGTATTTTCCCTCTTTCTCATTATGTTTATCAACTTGTTTTTATGTTTTATATATTCTGTCAACTTCCTTGGTTCTGAGTTTTAGGGATGATTTTTCTTTTTACATGCATGTAATATCCCTTTGGTAATCCGTAGTTTAATTTGCTCAGTTTATTTTGCTCTACAGCCTTTCTAAATTCCAACTGCATATGCAACAGCTCCCTCTGCTGTTCAAAAAAAATAACACACCTGGGTAGGTCTGAAAACTTGTCATTTTCTACCCATTTATTAGTCCATTTCTGGGTCGGAGAGGGGAGGTTGGGGTGGCAATCAGAGCTGCCACCCAAGTCTCAGCGCCAGTCCCTCGCTGGACCTCTGGCAGGTGGTGGGTCCACGAGAAGATGCTCTTGCCATTTCACCACAAAAAACACTGCTTACAATGACGGATAGATACTTTTTTGATCCCTGTAGGAGAAATTCAGGTGTCCAGTAGCAGCAAAAATAAAATAGATCATTCTAAAAAGCTAATAACAGTATTAATCAGCCACAGACCTTCAGGTCACAGCAGCAGAGGTGGAGTAGCCTCTGGGTGGAGCAGGACAGGTCACAGCAGCAGAGGTGGAGTAGCCTCTGGGTGGAGCAGGACAGGTCACAGCAGCAGAGGTGGAGTAGCCTCTGGGTTGAGCAGGACGGGTCACAGCAGCAGAGGTGGAGTAGCCTCTGGGTGGAGCAGGACGGGTCACAGCAGCAGAGGTGGTGTAGCCTCTGGGTGGAGCAGGACAGGTCACAGCAGCAGAGGTGGAGTAGTCTCTGGGTGGAGCAGGACAGGTCACAGCAGCAGAGGTGGTGTAGCCTCTGGGTGGAGCAGGACAGGTCACAGCAGCAGAGGTGGTGTAGCCTCTGGGTGGAGCAGGACAGGTCACAGCAGCAGAGGTGGTGTAGCCTCTGGGTGGAGCAGGACAGGTCACAGCAGCAGAGGTGGTGTAGCCTCTGGGTGCCCTGTTTTAACACATGCTTAACTCTTTGTTTAACCCTAACCCTCTTGGCGGAGGATCATTGAAAGCACGAGATTTAGAAAATGTAAACTAACAAAACACTGCTCTTTTAGCTCCTGGAGAAGAGCCCGGAGCACAGGCAGGAGCACAGGCCAGAGCGGTCAGAACCTTACGTGGCAGCCCGTCTGGATACGCTGCCTGCCATCTTCACTCTTGGGGACAGGCGTGTGATCAGAGGTTTCTACAACCGAGAACTGAGCTCGCAGGAGAACTACATGTGCTTTGTGCTGGCTGAGCTGGAGTACTCCCAATGCGTGAGTGTTTTTATACCCACATCTGTGCAAGCATGTATTCATTTTGTAAACTAGGAGCATAGTACATGAAACTATACTAGGGGACTCATGTTCTGCATGATTTGTCTTCAGTATGGCCCTAAAATATTTTCAATAATAATACTTTCATGTTAATAGGGGAAATTATTAGTACAAACAGTAACAGATAAACACTTCAGAAAATATTGTTTGTCATAGCATAATGTATATGTTATAACAAGTGTAGTGCTGTCAAAATGATTGTTTATGCAATTTCCTTTTTTTTTTCATTAATCGCGTAAAATAAATGAATGCTTTTGATGCATGTATCGAATGACCAGCCCACGCATCCCATAATAACACTCGTGTGTGAGATGGTTACAGAGCAGGGTGTTATGTTTTAGCAAATGAGGACCCCAAAGCAGAGTTGAGAGCAGGCTGACAAAAATGTATTTACAGGTCCAAAACAAAAAGTGAAAATACAAAACTGCAGGATCTGGTAAAAAAATAACCTTCTCAGTAAAAAAAGAATTGATCATAGAAACACAAGCACAAGGACACTACCGTATGAGACGGAATTATCTGGCACTGAAGAGCAGTCCAAACTGAGCTTAAGAAGCCAGGAGTAAATTGGCTGCAGGTGTGTCTGCTGCACCACCCAGCCACACCCACACCACCCAGCCACACCCATCACCACCCAGCCACACCCATCACCAACCCAGCCACACCCATCACCACCCAGCCACACCCATCACCACCCAGCCACACCCATCACCAACCCAGCCACACCCATCACCACCCAGCCACACCCATCACCAACCCAGCCACACCCATCACCACCCAGCCACACCCATCACCACCCAGCCACACCCATCACCAACCCAGCCACACCCATCACCACCCAGCCACACCCATCACCACCCAGCCACACCCATCACCAACCCAGCCACACCCATCACCACCCAGCCACACCCATCACCACCCAGCCACACCCATCACCAACCCAGCCACACCCATCACCACCCAGCCACACCCATCACCACCCAGCCACACCCATCACCAACCCAGCCACACCCATCACCACCCAGCCACACCCATCACCACCCAGCCACACCCATCACCACCCAGCCACACCCATCACCACCCAGCCACACCCCATCACCAGCTCTGCAGAGAAACAAAAAAAAAGGGAGGGGGGAGGAACAGAGCAACACAACCAGTGTTGTGCCAGTTCACTACTTTTCTGAACTAGTTCAAAGTTCAGTTCATTTTCCTTTTTTTGTGAAATAGTCAAATAAATAATTTTTTTCACACTACAAGCTATATATATATATATATATATATATATATATGTATATATATATATATATATATATATATATATATATATATATATATATATATATATATATATATATATATATATATATATATATATATCCTGTACACCCACAGGAGGAGAGCCTTTTGACTACAAAACAGACGAGATTTACATGGTTTTCAATGGGAGCAAAACGGAGTTGTTCCATCTCTGCTCATAAACTACAGACAGTAATGCGCTGCAGTGCTGTGTCTGTACTTTATGCTCATAAACTACAGACAGTAATGCGCTGCAGTGCTGTGTCTGTACTTTATGCTCATAAACTACAGACAGTAATGCGCTGCAGTGCTGTGTCTGTACTTTATGCTCATAAACTACAGACAGTAATGCGCTGCAGTGCTGTGTCTGTACTTTATGCTCATAAACTACAGACAGTAATGCGCTGCAGTGCTGTGTCTGTACTTTATGCTCATAAACTACAGACAGTAATGTGCTGCAGTGCTGTGTCTATACTTTATGCTCATAAACTACAGACAGTAATGTGCTGCAGTGCGTGTGTCTGTACTTTATGCTCATAAACTACAGACAGTAATGCGCTGCAGTGCGTGTGTCTATACTTTATGCTCATAAACTACAGACAGTAATGCACTGCAGTGCGTGTGTCTGTACTTTATGCTCATAAACTACAGACAGTAATGCGCTGCAGTGCTGTGTCTGTACTTTATGCTCATAAACTACAGACAGTAATGTGCTGCAGTGCTGTGTCTATACTTTATGCTCATAAACTACAGACAGTAATGCGCTGCAGTGCGTGTGTCTGTACTTTATGTCAAATGTAAACGGTGTAAACTTTGTCGCTAACTCACCCTGTGTTTTCATCACGACTCGGGCACATGTGAAAAGCACCAGCTCACACAGCGCCGCACCGCAACACAGAGTCGGGGTGCGTTCACAGACGGTGGAAACCGTAGCAATTTTTAGCTTTAGGCGGAAAAAGTGCGAGAATACAGGAGGGAGGAACTTTCTCTCGTTGCGTTTCAAAAGAGAAAACAGATTCCAACGTTCATAGTGATGTCTGCCGTTCATGACACATAAAATGAACTAATTCACGTTCAAGTTCTTTATTAAAAATGTGTTGCGTTCAGTTCAACGTTCACAAAAAAATGAGCGTGTTCAATGAACGCGTTCTTTTGAACTCACGCACAACACTGAACACAACCCTCACACAGGGAGGCGTCAGTTGGCATTAGCTATGCACAGTGTTGGGCACGTTACTTTGAAAAAGTAATTAGTTATAGTTACTAGTTACTTGGAGCGACAGTAGCTCAGTTGGTAGAGCATTGGCCTTAAGGCCAGAAGGTCGTGGGTTCAATTCCCACCTTCTCCACCGACTCCCACTGATGACTGCTGTCGTTGTGTCCTTGGGCAAGACACTTAACCCCACTTTGCCCAAAAGCCCCCACTGAAAGATCAAGGCTATGCTCACAGTCAGAGAGCAGCCGTCCTCCTGTGGACTCACCACCTGCAGAGGGTCAGTGAGGGGCTGGTGCTATGAGACTTGGGTGGCATCTCTGACTGCCACCCCCCTGACCCAGAAATGGATTAAAGGGAAGAACATGGATGGAAATGGATGGATGGATACTAGTTACTTCTCCCAAAAAGTAACTGAGTTACTAACGGAGTTACTCCACTATAAAAGTAACTAGTTACCAGTAAAAGTAACTATTGCGTTACTTTTTCGTTTTGTTCTGGAACATAATGTGCACTCGACGTGCGCATTTTTACCTTTAACCTTTAACCTCAGTGAGTCTGAAACAGTGCCAATATTTCCATCTAGAAAAGGCTGTTTTGCTGCTGAAGTCCTGTTCACTCTTCATCTGTCTCTGTGCTGTAAGCACTAAACACAACACGCTCCACTGTGAATGTGGAAACACCGGTGAAGCACTGACTTCAGTCCAATCAGATGAACATATATATCATATAAATCAAGTGGACAATTTGTTTGGCTACAGCAAAATATGTTTCATGCCTGCACTGTTTGTTCATACAAAACGCAAAACTAAGAGTTATGGGTCTTACCTTATAAATGACCTGCACAGGCCACTTCGGTTCAGACCAGTTCCATGTTTAAATCCAGATAATAGTTTGAGCGTAGATATGTAATCCTCCATTTGGAAATGAGTCCAATTAAAAAGTAAAACAAAACGCGTGTGTCCTCCATAAACTCCTGTGTTTTGCTGCAGCCGAGTGCATCCGATTTCTAAAATCAACCGTCTTACACTTCACCTCTCTTTCTTATCATTCTTATAGTCATTGAAAAATTACCCTAAGTGCATTTTAAATTATCTTAAAATGTGTTATAGGTATGTTAGCCAAACCTGTTGATGTCCTTAGCAGATAAACCAGGAAGAGCAAGGAGCTTATCAATGGAATTGTATGCAGCCGACTTCTGCGCTCTCATGAGCTCCTCTGAGGTTGACCTCACGGTGATACAAGCCGTGGTAGAGTGTGATTAATTTGTTTCATTTGTTTAAAAAACACAATTTATGAGCTATCCTCTCAACTGTAGACATGTGGATTGTAAAGGAAATATGTTTTACATCAGCCAATAATTGCTGAGAGGTTTTCTCATCCTTCTCTCATGACGACACGCGCACGAGTCCTATCACGAAGTAAAAAGAGAAGTTCACTGTGCGTCTTGAGTAACGCGCAGTAACGGGATGTCGGAAATGCTAACGGCGTTATAGTTACAGTCAAAGTAATTAGTTAGATTACTCGTTACTGAAAAAAGTAACGCCGTTAGTAACGCCGTTACTAGTAACGCCGTTACTAGTAACGCCGTTATTCCCATCACTGGCTATGCATTAGCATTAACTTCTTAAAAGCTGTACAACAATCACTGATGAAACAAAACCAAAGCAACGCCCTAACAAAATATACAGTACAATAACTGAAAGATTACCACTTGTTTTGCGTCCAAAATTAGTCCAAGAAGGTCCGCACCCGCAGGTCTCTCCAGAGGACACGGTGTAAGCTAGCTATGTTCACCCAGGCTTGATTTCTTCTTTGATCATTTTTTTGCTTTAGTTCCCTCTTCTCCTCTTCCCATTAGCGTCTTTTGGGCTGTTTTGCTGTGTCTGCAGTTACAGCCAGAGGATATAACCACTCTCTGTTGCCATGCTGTTCTGTTTACCTGCCGACGCTAGGCAGGTGGTTTTCAATGGTGTTCAATGCTTTGGAGCTACATGTGTCAAACACAGCAGAGGTGAGATTGTAATTGTACTGACTCCATTAACCCAGTAAGAGTGCAAACTACAAACAGTCTGTTAACTGAAGTCAATAATTCCCTTTGACTGACGTGTTCAAAGTCGATGCAAGAGTAAGACAAGAGATCTCCAAGTTTAACATCTGTATTTAATTTATCTTTACAATCAGATACAGAAATTCCAACAAAGAGTGCTCCTAAAACTATATATGTCCCTCTCTCTGGCCCTCGGCTGATCCCCCTCTTTCTCCCCAAGCCAGAGCATATAAAAAGAACAGGAAGGAGGGGAGTGTCCTATCAGCCAGCTTCCGGTCTAGGGTCCAGCCTTTTCCTCCGTCTGCCAGACTCCTGATGGAGTGAGGTTGAAAAGTGCAGAAGTCAGCAGGCCAAGACTAGGGGGGTGAAATACAAACAGGAGAATCCATCTGTTGTCCAGTTGCTGGCACAAGAAGACACCTAAAATAAAATAAGAAGGACTGGCCTCCCACTTAGAGGTCCTTTAGGTCATAAAACACATGGTTTTAGAATGTCATGTATTTATAAATACAACAGTTCCCCTCTTTTGACCTGATTAAAAATTAGGTCACAATCCACATCGTCGTTTATCATCAATACTTGTGCTTAGTTCCGGCTTGATATCTGTGAAGAGTTAATACAGAAAGAATACACACACAACAAACCACATTTTAACCATTCCTTCAATACTATTTGATGACTACTGCTGTGTCATTCTGATTCTTCTTCAACCCTGTCTGTAATGTATGCACTAAAACTATTCACTATAGTTTAAATTATTCTAATCTATTTACAAATATGTTTGCATATTTTGCTTTTATTGAGCCCTATTCTTAAACATATGTTTTTATCTAATAAATCTATCTATACTGTGGTTTGCTTTCATTATCAGTGTCTCTGGGCCATTTCGTGGGGCTTTGCTCATTTTTCCAAATACATTTTGTTGAACCAGGAAGTGCTGTCCCTTCCTCCTCTCAGACCGTTTGGGATAAATGTACATCGTTAATCAAATTGGTATTATCCTTAGAGGAGCTAATCTATTTTAGCAGGTTTCTCTGGGTCAGTCCCTATACAACGGTATTTTGATTCTCTAATCTGTTGCTGACAAATCGACAGCTCTTAAAATTCTCAAAAAATACCTAAATATCTACTTTTGTGCTATACCCAAATACATTAAAATGCTTTTAAATGTTTTTGAATCTGTGTTGGTTCTAATCGATCTCATTAATCTATCTCATTAGCTTTTGGCATTGTTAACATTCACCTATGTTTGAAACAAGCGAATTTGACAGTATCTAATAAAACTGTGCATAAATTGTAATGAACTTCATCTACCTTTGAAGTAAATACTTTTGGACATAATATGAAGGAAATGGTCCTTTTACCGCTTGATATTAGCCCTGTCTAAAAATAATCTCTATTTTTGAAAGAATCTATCTATTTTATACTCTATTGTGACTCCAAATCTTGGTTGTAGTTTGAGCCAAAGCATATTCCCAATTTGTGAGTTCTGATTGTAACAATAGCATTGGCAATAGACAATTTTTCATTGGCCGGTTCTTGTTCTGCAAATCACTATTTTATGTATTGTATTTCAGACAATTCCAAAAACAACACAGTCGTTCTCCAATATTAAAGACATGAAT